GGAATAAGATTCAACAATAAGGAGGAATGAACTATTGATATATGCACCAACATAGAAAGATCACAAAACAATTATGCTGAGTGAAAGAAGCCAAACCAAAAATTATAGATTTGGTGGTTCCCTTTATACAAAACTCTAGAAAATGCAGACTGATCGGTAGTGACAGAAACCAAATCAGTGGTTGCTTAGGAACAACTGGGGAGAGAAAGGTAAGAATTACAAAAGGATTTTTGGAGAAACTTTTGGAGATAATAGATCTGTTCATTATGCTGATTTTGGCAGTGGTTCACAGTATATATAATTAAAACCATTCTAATTATACACTTTAAATAAGTGTAACTTGTTGTATTTCAAATATACTTCAATAAAGCTTTTTTACACTTTTCCCCATTAGGTTGACACCGAGGTTATCTCATCTAATAATAATAAAACAGAGCCTGAGTGGTTGGCAGTAAGGAGACGATTCCATGACTAATGCATATTGGGCTGATTATACTTTGTTTTGTTCTGGCACCATTCTGTTCTCCAGCACTGCTCCCCAACTCATCTTGAGCATGAAGCTAATTATAAACTAATTATTTCTTGGTGGTTAGAGCCTTGCTTCAGAATCAACCTCAGATGATAAAATATGAATTGATTATAATAATTGTAACAAAAATTAATGTAGCAGCATTAGAAAGTTTAGAAATTGAAAAAGACCCAAAAGTTTATCTATAGAAGAATCAATAAAATTGTGGTAAATTTCTAGAGTCGAATTCCATAGGACAGTGAAGACAATGAATTAAGAGTTATATTTATCAACATGAATAAATCTCAGAAATATGATGTGAAGTTAAAAAAGTGAGTTGCAAAATTATACATACAGTTTGATAAGATTTAAGTTTTTAAACATGGAAACAGTACTGTTACTTGTTTATGGATATATACCTATACATTATAAAACTCTGAAAGGGAATGACAGACACCAAATGCAGGTTAGCTGTTACTCTGAAATGAATTAGAATGGATTTACAGAGAGAGTTTCGACTGAATGTCTGATGCTTTATTTCTTAAGTGGTTTGGGAAGTGTATGAGTATTTGTTATCACATATGAATTACATAATTTAAAAAAGTTTTAAAAACCAAACACTGAAGAAATGGTGTGAATGACACAGGTGATTGGACATAGAGCAAATGATTTTATTTGTTCATCTGTCTCCTTTTGTATTTGTTTCCCACAGTTTCTGTGTGCACTACCAAGAAGGGAAGGTTATGAGTTTTTTGTCGGACAGTGGACAGGTACTGAACTCCACTTCACTGCACTTATAAATATTCAGGTAGGTGGCTTGTGCCCATCCCCTAGATGAAAGAGGCCTACCCCTTTGTGGGACTATGAGTCCTTGCTGAGGCTTGAGGACACAGAATAAGTACTAACTCCCAGCAGTATTTGCTGTAGCATTGATTGATTGTCATACTTTGTACATTGGGCTAGCTTTTTAGGCCCTACTCAATACCTAGAAGTTAGAAAGACCCCAAAACACGTTCTCTGACTATTTCTGGCTCTCTCCTCACTCTTCTCTAGACATCTATAGCAAAGCATTTGAAGCTTTTAAAATAAAAATATTTTAAATAATGGGAGATAGGATATAACTTAAGTGGTAGAATGCATGCTCAGCATGCATGAGGTCCTGGGTTCAATCCCCAGTACCTCCATTTAAAAAAAAACCTAATAATAAATAAATAGACCTAATGACCTCCGCCCTCCAAAAAAAATAATTTATTTTAAATGAGGTCATCACTAGGATTGACATACTATATTTGGAGGCCAAATCTGACAAAAGCAGGAATGTATTATAACGGCTTTGAAGTTGGGGTAAAGGGAGCACAAAATAGAATGAGGATTTGCTCATGACTATCCCTTATGATTGCATCCAAAAATTATATGATTTGTTAAAGAAAAAAAAAGAACAAGAATAAGGGGGTAGCTTTCACTTTACTACTGTAATTCAATAATCATTTATTGGGCATATACTGTAATAACCAACATTTGATGTACTTACTATGTGCCAAATGTTTTATATACATTATGTCATTTAATCCTCACACGTATCTCGAGATAGTTACTAATATTATTTCTGTTTACACACAAGAAGTGGGGGTAGAGAAGTTAGTTCACACTGCTGATAAGTGGTAGAGCTGGGTTTCATTGATTCCAGGTTATTGACTCCAAAGTCTCTGAACTTAGCCATTATGCTCTTGTGTTGGAAACTGTGTTAGGGCTTGGGGATCTATGAGGGTCCCTGCCCTCGTGAAGCTCATATACAAGTATAGTAAAAAGATCCAGAAACATAATTATGATCAAAATGATAGTATATTTGAAGTATGTTCGGCAGAACTGAGAGGCTGAACTACTAAGAGTACCCTAGCAATAGTTAGGTATTGATAATTAAAAGGACTTCTGCTGAAATTTTAAAGATGAAACCCAGAACTCTGTTGAATGTATAGTTGTTTCCTCCTACACTATGTGAGGGCTTTAGCTTTGAACCCAGTCTCTCTTCCTAGTCTGGACTGAGGTCTAGTAACCACTGCCCTGTCCATTCTTCATGAAATTATGATGTTCCCATTCTTCTTTCCCCACTACCTCCCACTCAGATTATATTTTAAAACTGAACATTACAAATCTGGCCCATGTGCAAACTCTCCAGCTGTTTGCTACAGCTTAAAAGAGCTTGGTCTTCAGAGCCAGCCAAGGGGAGTAGATTTCAACTGTGAAATGCACTAGTCCATAAAAGTGGCAATTACACAGGCATATTGCTTTCTTTAGAACTTGATTTGGTAGCTACTTGTGCCATTTTGTTTTTAAATATATGGCCGTGATGAAGGATTCACTGCCTACTGTAAACATTTTCTGGGAAAAAAGCCAAACCTTTTTCAATTGAAGACACAAATAACACTGTGCAAACTGTCAGTTTCGCTGTGCCTTGGCAGACCTGACCACCCCCACATACAAGTCCTCCAACTCACTAGCCACCCAAGGGGCTGTTAAGAGGCAGAATTTCTTCCAGACTCTCTATTGCTCTGAAATTGCAGTTTTGTTGTGCTGGTACCTTATTGAGCCTTGATAAGTGTTCCTCCTTTCAGACCCGAGGGGAAGCTGCAGCCAGCCAGCTGGTTTTATATCATTACCCTGAACTTAAGGAAGAAAAGGGCATAGTACTGATGACAGCAGAAATGGATTCCACATTTCTGGTAAGAATCAACTTTTGCCTTTTTGGAATTACCTGATGGCCCTGAAAGTATTATTCTTCTGCCAAAACTCACGAGAGGTGTAATTCCAGAGACCTACATTATTTACCTGTTTCTTATTTAAGCTGATAATAATCTTGTCTTGCTCAAGCTCTTCCAAATTGAAATTGGTACAAATTCTCATTTATTTATTCACAGTTTGAAAGTCCAAAACTCTGACAGCAGAGTTTTTTCATAATTCCTTTGGTCACAAAACCTTATCTGATTTGAACTTATTTGATAGCTAAATCTTCACTTAAACTGATGTGAGGCTGCTTATAGTCCTTATTAATCCTACTTGGTGTGAAATATTGATGTATTTTACTAGAGAAGTATTAATGTATTTGATTATGGGGAGTTACATAATAAGCTTGTATGGTGTCTGCACTTATTACCTTTCTAAAATCCAACAACTGACTCCAAGACACATCTGACCCTAGGGGTTTCAGTGAAGAGACCGTGGACAAGTAAATGGCTTCTTAGAGAAGAGTTCAAAGTCTAGAATAGTTCTTAATCTTTTATCTTCCTCCACACTATTCACATGTACAGCATTCATCATACATAGTGATTTTCATTCTTCCTTTTCCCATTTCTTGGAATAGAGCATTGACCATATGCCCCCTGGTAATGATGTCCATTGTGTTTGTTCTCTGCTTATGCAGGGCCAGGAGCAGTTTTATGATTACCATTCAGCCTGTTTGTCTAGTTTTCGCTCATTCAGTGTCATTTATCTGGCAGGGTTTAAGTTCAGGATGTCCTCAAGATAGTGGGCACTTTAGTGCCTCTTCCTCCTGAGGTTTTTTATCACAATACCCACTTAATTTTCCTCTCTCTCTCTTACCAGCTACATACAAAGAAGGGAAAAATGATGGTACTCAGCTAGTATCTCATACTAGCAATAAGCCCCCAAGCCTAGGACTTGACTGAGACTCTACTTCCCTGTCTATTATTCCTATAAATGTTCAGTCCCATTTCTCACATTCTTCCTTTTACCCATCACATTCAACTGGAAGTCACCCAAAGTTCTCTCCAGAAGAACGGAGTTGCCATTAACTGAGACAGACAAGACTGCAGGAGGACTAGGTTTAGAAGGAAGATCAGGAGCTCAATTTTGTGCACATTAAATCTGAGATGCCTATTAGATATCCAAGGAAAGTTAGGTTTATGAGCCTGGAGTTCAGGGGAGAGGTCCCAGCTGGAGAGATAAATATGGGAATTGTCAGCATGCAGATTGTTATTTAAAGCCATGAGACCGAATGAAATGACCAAGGGAGTTAATGAAGATAGAAAAGAGAAGAGGTCTAAGAACTGAGCCCTGGAGAGATGAGGAATCATTAGCAAAGAAGATTAAAAAGGAAGAGTCAGTGAGGTAGGAGGAAAACTAAGATGTTAGGATGCCCTGGAAGCTAAGATAAAATGTTTCAAGGAATAGGAGTGTTCAACTAACCAAATCTCGCTTGCTGATCGGGCAAATGAGATGAGGACTGAGAATTTACTAGAGTTCACAACATGGAAGTCATTTGGGGACCTTTATAAGGGCAGTTTCAAAGGAATGGTAGGATAAATGTATGATTGGTGCACATTTAAGAGAGGATGGGAAGAGAAATTAGAAAGAGTAGGCATAAACACATCTTTCAAGGGATGTTTCTGTGAAGGGAAAGAGAATCGGCGTAAGAAGTGGGGTTAAGAATGTTTTTTGTTTTAAATGAGAGAAACATGATACTATATCTATGCCAGTGGAAAGATCCAGGAGCAGGAGTTTAGCAGGGTAAAGCGGGGAGGGGAATGTTCCAGACAATGGGAATAGAATACGTAATTGCCAGGAGGCATAAAATGAATTGGGGTATTACAGTTTGCTGTCACTTGTATATTAAAAAAGAAGGTTTGGTGTGTTGTATTTAGAGGATTGGCTTTATCCTGAAAGCACAAAAGGATCATTAGAGGATTTTGAATGGGGATTGACCCATAAAGAATTGGATTTTGAGACCATTAATCTTAATTATTTGCTTCCTAAATATTTTTTCAGTGCGACCATTTAGAATAGTTTCAATAGTCTGGGCAAGAGGTAGTAAAGACCTAAACTAGAGCAGTGGTAGGAGGGATGGAGGAGAATGACCTCAGAAATACATACGGAATAAAATGGCCAAGACTTGGTAATTTGATTTTAGCTATGAAGATTGAAAAGAGGGAGGAATCAGGTTTGTTAATATACCTCCTTGCTGAGCAACATTGGGAATTATTAATGTTTTTCTTCTTGGGTCTTGAAAGGGGAAGAGATGATGTGTCATGTTGAGAGTTAAGAGAATAAAAGTCAGGAGGCGAATAAGTGGGCAGAAGTGAGGGGTGCAGGGGAGCTTTCCATAACCCTCCATGAGAGACACTGGCACATATCTCCGTGTCTTAACTCTCCACCCACCATTCTAGTGCTCTTCAAACCAGTGGTCAGAGCCCTTTATCCAAATAAAATCTTGTTACATAAAGCCCTAGGACATAACAGCTGAGAGAAAGGTGAGGGGACCTGCGGCACCTTCACAGAGCCCCTGGGACTCTGCAGTTTGTTCTAGAATGAACACAAGTAAAATTACCCTTACCTCCACCATCCTAAGCCACAAATAAAAGTTGACTGTCAGAGGCTGTATGGTTTAGGGCCTCAGAGAGTGGGGATACCTGCCTCAGATGACACCCTTGCTTTAGAAACAGTTTGTTCTTGAGGCATGTCTGAATATAAGGAAGGTAAAATTGATGAAGTAGTTATCGACCTTGATCGATCTTAATTATTTTGCCCCACCAGGAATAGTATAAGGGTGAAGTGGAGGAAGTACCAGCCTGGGAGTCCAGAGTTCGGGTCCTGGCTCTGTCACTTGTTAGTCACGTGACCTTGGGCCCATCCCTGACCCCTCTGCTCTAGTTTTCCTGGTCCAGCAAATGAGGACTGGGTGAACTCTGAGGCCCCTTCCAGCTCTAAAATTCTATTAATTCAAAATATCCAGCATTTTGGAAAATGGCTTTTGATTGAAGATCCAGTCTCAGAGGTTAGTCCCTGCTTGTGAGAAATGACCTGAAAGGCCCATGGGAGAGAATGGAGGTGAAGCAGCCTGTGGTTTTTATAAACCTGTAGTCATCACTCTGTAGCTAGACATAGTACACTTTTGACAGTTTTAGTGGGAATTTTCCATTACTTTTTGGGGTTGGGTTTTGGCTGTGTGAACGTCGTAATCGTGAATAAAGTGCCTCTGATCAGCTAGACCTAGAGAATGTACAGGAAACAGAAGTAAGAGTTTTTGAGGTAATTCTTTTGTAAGGTTTCAAGAGTGTAGCCTGTGTTCTGACCCCACTTCTGTTACGTAGAGTGGTCTGGTCACCATTTCCCTGCTACTAGGCTTTGGAGATGGTGGCCCCTGGGGCTTTGCTGGTGGATTAGTTAGAAATGACTGTATAGCAAATTACTACTCCAAAACTTAGTGGCTTAAAACAACAAGTATTTATTACTTCACAGTTTCTATGTGTCAGGAGTTCAAGAGCAGCACAGCTGGGTGCTTCTGCCTCAGAGTCTGTCATGAAGTTGCTGTCAAGATGTTAGCTAGGGCTCCCGTTGTTTGAAGATTGATTGGGTTTGACCGTCCACCTCTGACCCCACTCGCATGGCTGTTGGCAGGAGGCCTCATTCCCTTGCCACACAGGCTTCTCTGTAGGCTGCTTGAATGTCCTCATGACATGGCAGCTGACTTTCCCCACAGCAAGTGAGTCAAGAGAGATAGCAGGACAGAAGCTGCAATGTCTTCTGTGATGAACTAGCAGAAGTCATTTTCATCATTCCACCATAGTCCATTTGTTAGAAGCAAGTCACTAAGTATAGCCAACACTCAAGAAAAGAGAGACAAGGCTCCATCTCAGGGAAGAAAGAGTGTCACAGAATTTGTGGACAAGTTGTAAAACTACTCAGCTGGCTTTGGCACTAGTTTTCTGACTGAGGTGGTATCAGGAACAGGTGTTTTTGGGGAGTATGTCTGGTTAGTCAAAAACTTAGTCACAAACTGGTTCTTGGAGCTGGGTAACTATTGCTCTTTTTTTCCCCTTGAGATATACTTAACAGTTACTAAGGAACAGGATGAAGAGGGAAATTTTTAACCTATGCATTAATTTGTTAGCAGACATTCACCAGATTTCACTATGTGCAGGGATGTAAAACAAGCACATACTTTGAGGAATTCATACAAGGGAAGATAGACAGAAAAGAAAAAGAGGGGAAAAAGGATAGATACAATACAGTATGATACATACTATGTTATAGGAAGCATAGGGCAACTTGGGTACACAGAGAAGGGGCACCTCACCTAGACTTGGGATGTCAGGGAGTCAGAGAATCTCTGGAAGCAGTGGCTCCTGGGTGAGGGCTCCCACCTGCCACAGGACTCAGACACAGAGCGTTGTGGCCCTGGGCCGGAAAGGACCTCACTGTTCTTTTTACCTTTCAGAATGTTGTTGAGGCACAGTGCATTGCCAACCAAGTCCAGCTCTTCTATGCCACTGATCGGAAAGAGACCTACGGGTTAGTGGAGACCTTTAACTTCAGACCAAATGAGTTCAAATATATGTCTGTCATCGCGGAATTGGAGCAAAGCGGACTTGGAGCAGAACTGAAATGTGCTCAAAACCAGGATAAGACTTAAGCTACACAGTTGGCTTACAGAGTCTTCTCAGCCCTGGACAGTCCTGAGCCCACCCACCCCTTGAACTCTCAGGAGCTCAGCATCTATAGTGAGCAGTCTCTTGTGAGCTGCTCTGTGTGCTTATTGCAAGAAGTAACATGGAGTTGAGCCCTATTACTTGATATTCAGGAATGAAGGTACCCAAACATTCTGATAATTATCTCCCAGCATCCTTTTTAGGTGTTTGAGGTCGTAAGCAGAGACCGCCAAGGATCCGCAAGGTGGTTGACTTGATTTTACACAGTGTAATAGTACATTTGTATTCTGGCCATTTTGACTGCATAGCTCCCAAGTGATTGGTTCCTCATCTTTATAAACTGTGATGGGATAAGAAGCTTGAAGGCCTGTTGTAGTTAGATGTGGGCGTTACATACTCGTTCCATTTGGCTGGCCAAACGTATAACCCAGATAGCCTGTTTAAACTCTGTAACAACCAGGTATTGCGATCAGGATTAAGGCTTCATCCAGATGTGCCCAGACTTGCCTTCAGTGTAGTTTGGAGTATTAGTAGATTTCAGGTATAGTTAAACATACGTGTACAGTGCCTGCATGTTTTTAAACCATAGTTTGTGGCACCTGCTTCTCTAACTCTGCCTGTTGCAAGCTGTATATCTAGAGGTGCTGAATCAGTGCAGTGTAAATAAATCAACACTTTTGTAAAGAGAGGATCAATCCAGATTTGCATTTTTTTTTAACTCTAAACCATGCCAGTATTATAGTAAAAGTGGGTGCAAGCAAATGTTCCCATATTGGGTGTGGGGAAAATGCAGCAATAAAATAGAGTCTGGCTTACACTCTTTGTTACACTAAATAGTGAATTCTAAGCTCTGTGCTGTCCATAGTGTCAGTGCTGTGGGCTGATTTCATCAAAATTCATCTGCAGTTTCTTGAAATGCCAAAAATAAGAAAGAAGCTCTCCAGTGCTGGAAACTCAGATTTGGTTTGTCACGTCACTGTGACTCCAGGCTGAGTGATAGAAGAGGGCGGTGGTTACACACCAGCCTTCTGAACTTGAGGCCCAGAGTCCCCCAGTGTTGTTGTAGACCACCTTTATTATAACGCCTTTCCTTTTCTCCATCTGCTTGCTCCCCTTTGCACTCCTGCCATGACCTGGCGAATGACACTAAGTATGGTGAGTGGAATCTAACCAGGATTTGTGGTTTGTGTGTGTGTTTTCATTATTACAGGAAACCTTTTATAGATTGGGCTTGGCAGATTCTTTCAACGGCATTGAACTTCCCATTATTTTCTGAGCTGTGTCTGTTTTGTTGTACTTCTGAGTCTGTGTAGAGAGAGCCAGATAGTGTTTGTTTAAACTGGAAAAGTTGCTGGTCTTCCACAATTTCTCTAAAGATTGAGCTGTTTCCTAAGGCAGACTCAGGCCTCTGGTCCTGATGGCTCATTTTTTTAAGAAACTTGAGTCTGGGTGTTTTGAGGCCCAGGAATCTTTGACATCAGGTAGAGTTACTTTCATGGATATGTTTGCTTTCCCCTCCAGATGGACCCAGTCTTTAGCCATAGTACATTTCATAACACCTACACCAGCAGATGAGAATATGATGGGTAAGGAAATCAGAACTGGCTCCTCATTTTATTGTTCCTCTCAGCTTTGCTCTAAATCCCCACCAGCCAGAGAAGGATGTGTCCATGAACAGTCACACTGGACGTGATCAGAGTACTATCTGGCTGTTCTTTATATTTACTTAGCAAGATCTGGGAAAGAAAAAAAAGAAAATTTAACATCAGTCCCCTGGCGCAACAACGTGTCATAGAAAGTGGACAGGCTTTAGAGATCAGTGAATCTGGGTTCAGTGTTGAAATTCATTAGCTCTATAATGTTAAACAGATTATTTAAACTCTCTAATTCTGTTTCTTCATCTATAAAATGAGGAATGTATCTACCTCATAGGATTGTTGTCAGAATTAAATCAGCTTATATATAGACTATGTTAGAGCTTAGTAAATGTCAGCTCCCTTCCTCTTCTCTGCTTCCCCTGCCGCTAACCTAAAGGCCAGCACAGATAAGCATTTCAGATGTGCAGATCACTTTTCCTTCCAGTTTAAGAGCAAACCTTATCTCACAGGTCCTCTAACTTTCAGTTGCAGTAGAATTACCAAGAGCACTTCAAAATGCAGACTCCCAGGTCTCAAACCACAACCTGCTGAATCATAATCTTTGCAGAAGATGCTGGGAACCTACATTTTAATATATGCTCCAGATGATTCTGATGTAGGTAATTAGCCCGCCACACTTTAAGAACCAATGCCTTATCTATTCTTCACCAAACGTAGCTGCTAGCCAGGGCTCTTCCCTGTGGACATTAACCATAAAGTACGTTCCTGTGCTCTTTGCCTCCCATAGTGGTCCCCTCTACATACTCTACATTCTACTTATTTATTTCTGTATCTTTTGTCCCCACTAAACTGTGAGCTCCTTGAGGGCCAGGGTTTATCTCCATTCCCAGCACCAAGGAACACAGCTAGAATATAGAAGATACTCAGTTTTTTTTTGTTGAATAAATAAATGACATGGATTTTAGCCAAAACATTATCTTGTTGTATGTGTGTCTATCTTTAAATAGTTTAAATTTAAGAGACTCTCTTAACACACACATAGATTGAAAACTTACTGAGTAGGAATATTTGCAAACCAAGATAGCAAGTTAAACACAAATTATCTGTATCTCAGCCAATCTACACTTTCTGGTGGGCTGTCTACTCAGTGCAATTCAACAGCCACTCACAGAGCACCTGCTCTACAGCTGCCAAGTTAGGTGCTGACACAGGAAGATGAGTAGGATGATCCCTGCACTCAAGCTCTGTTCCAGCCACCACCTGTGTCTCTGGCCGCTGGTTCTGTGCCTCACATCTAGCGCCTGGTCATAGTTTGCCTTGCCTTTGCAGTTGGGAAGCAGGAGCCACATGCTGTGTTTTTTGCAGTCTCTGCAGTACTGACCTGTTGTTCAGTCTTGGAGGAGAGGTACAAATGCCCACTCCCCCAGTCATCTGACTTAGAATTGATTGAGCATTCATAATATTTATCTAGGTCCTATTATATGCCAAGCACACTTATGGGGAACTGAGGAATACGGCAATGAAGAGGACAAATAAGGCCCCTGTTCTCATGGTACTTTTAGTCTGGTGGAGAAGACAGATAATAAATCAGTAAGATTCTTTCAAATAATGGTAGTTTTATGAAAGTTTTAAAATGTTATTGTGGGGGAGGGGATAGCTCAGTGGTAGAGCACATGCTTAGCATACATGAGGTCCCAGGTTCAATCCCCAGTACCTCCATTAAAATAAATAAATAAACCTAATTATCTCCTCCCCCCACCAAGAAAAAAGCAAAACAACAAAAAAAATTTAATTAAAAAAAATGTGATAGAATATGAAGAGGAGGCAGTAACTTAATGGTCAGGAGTACCACCTCTGCAGAGGTGACAGCTGATGCTTGAGCTGGGGAAAAGTATCAGGTAGAACAGCAAGTGCTGAGGCCTTGCGGCAGGGCCAAGCTTAAGCTTGCTCATTTCTGGGCACAGATTTAAAGGCTCAGTCGTGCCCTTGAGGAGCTCACAGTTCAGCGAGGCGAGACACTGACTTGACTGCTAATTAAAATCCAAGGCCTCTCAGAAGAGGGACAAGGAGTGTTAGAGAACACTACAAGCTGCTGTGGGGAATGCAGATCTTGCCAGAAGCACCTGTGGTTTAATAGGGAGTAAAAGGAAGACAACATGAAAGTCTCAAAGAATATGTGTTCCATGCAAGAGTCAGGCAGCCCTGTGAGTTCATAGTTGGTCTCAAAATATATACACATTAACAACAGCACTAACATTTATTACTGGGGACTTTCCGTGTGCCAGGCACTGTGCTAAGCCCTTGGATTGTCTCAGTCCTTCCAACAACCCAGTGAGGTAAGCAGGAAGCTGCTGATTGGAGAGATGTGCGCTGCTCTTGCACCCCTCCCCTCCCCTCCCCTCCCCCACCCCCAGCGCAGAATAGAGGGAAACCTGGCAACCACCCCTAACCTCAGCCAACCCAGGCCTTAAGAAGTCATGGGTAGCTCTAGAACCAGCCCTTGCGCTGAGAAACACGTGTGCTAACTTTCCTGCCAACAACTGAAGGACAAAATGCACTCATTATACATTTCTGATTCCTCCAAACTTTCTTTCAAAAGACATCACGTTCTACCTGAAGGAGGACTTTCTTGTGCTCTGTTCTATACCACATGGAGCGCTTTGGTCTTGGCAGTTCTCTTAATGTGGCAGGTGGGTGGCAGCACTTTTATCCCTGTCCTGCTAAAGGAGAAACTCGGTGCATGAAAAGGCGGGAGATAACTTGAAGGTCACTGCATCAGGAACTGAGCCAGAAATAGAAGGTGACGGGTCCATGCTCCAGACTTAATGGTACTTGTAACATCCACTGAGTAAGCTGATTCCTCACATTCACAGGACTCCTGTGCTCTCTGGGCCTCAGGAACTGGAAGAGCGAGAAGAAAAATTGGTTCATACCGCTTATGATTCCTCCCAAGCTGCCCAGAGCTTTCAGAACAAAGTCCCTCTGGATCATCTCACGAGAGCTTTAGGAACTGGTTGCTGGTGACTTCTCCGGGCTCATCTCTTGCTAGGCCCCTCCCACTCCCTTAGCGCCAATCAACCTGGATGACAGGCAGTTCCCCAAATACACTGAGCTTGCTCTTCTTGCCTCTGTTCTGATCTTTGCCTGCCTCAAATGTGCATTCCCCCTTCATCAAGTTAATTCTTATCTGTCTTTCAAAGTCCCACTGAAGCATCTCTACCAGAACCTTCCCTGACATCCCCATCGATGCCGTCCCCGCCCATCATGTGCCCTGTCTTTTGCCTCCCCAGCATTTTGTGCTCTGCCTCCAAAAGGCTGTCTCTCCCGTAGATGGGACACTCCTCAGAGACACAGTTCATATCTCACTGGACATTGTATCCCCAGCGTCCAGCATGAAGCCCAGCACAAAGATAAGATACCACTGAATGTTGAATAAATTCCTCCTGAATGACTGCTCAACTCAAACCACCTGTGTCCACAAACATCCCTTGGACAGTGAGACCCAGCCCTGACAAACATGCTGTGATTATGGTCCAGCCCCAGGAAGCAGCCATCTTGCTTGCTTTTATTGCAGAGGCTGCATGTGAAAATAAAGCCAAGCGGCCATCCCCTTGCAAGAGGAGACAGCTGGTCCAGGGCTTGTCAGAAAGAAGTGAGACAGTGAACAGACTTGTGGAGCAAGGCAATTATTTTAAAGTACCAGCCTGGCATATTCAAGCTCCTGTCTTGGCTTACCAAGTTTTAGGGTTAAAAAGAATGGGGGTGGGGGTCAGGGGGAGGTTATAGCTCAGTGGTAGACCACATGCTTAGAATGCATGAGGTCCTGGGTTCAATCCCCAGTACCTCCTCTAAAAAAAGACCAAAAAACAAACAAACAAACAAAAAACCTAGACACTGTCTAGTCACTAGTTTTCAACTGTGCTTCAAGACATCCCAACAGTTCCTTAGAGGTTGGGAGCCTGGGAGCCTGGTCTTTGTCCTCAGTTCAACCAGAGAAGCAGTGTTTTATTTACTGGGCTTCCCATAATCTGTCATTTGAAGAAGCAGTTTCCAAGAAAGACTGAGAAAACTCTGGTTTAGTTTAACCTCCCACCCACCTAGCAGCCCTGGCGACAGCATCTCCAAGACATTAGGCCACTGTTTGAAAACTTCCAGGGACTGGGAGCTCTCTACCCTGCTGGCTGACCTGTGCCCTGCAGTGACAGCCCTGTGTGATTGCGTGATCCCCACCCCGCACTGAAATCCAGCCACCTCTCCCTCCCCTTCCTGGGCTTCCTGGGCCCGTCATAGCTGGAGCCTCCAAAAATAGTTTTGTTCGTTTTTCTGCCTCATAGCTTCTCCTGCTGATGTGTGAAGTTAGCTCTCAATTTGCCTTAGAGTCTTTTCAGCAGATAAAACAATCTTCTGTCTTTCTTTATATGAACCAGCACCCCCACCTGCTTCTGGACAGACAAACTCAGCAGTGTCCACCTCACGGTTAGGGCCTGGATTTGAGCCCCAGATGGCCTTGTGGGATGACCAGAGTAGATTTAGGACAGCAGTCCTTTGGGAGTTGGCCTGGCCCACCCAGCAGTCTCCTCTCCACATTGCCACTTATCACTTATCATGTTGACTTATCACTCGGTGATAAGGTCACCTTACTGACTCCACCTTGTCCTTTCTTCACCCTCGTTCCCTACTCCCATCCTCAGCTCTCTTCACAATCTGCTGTTAAACATGGCTTTTCCTACTGGAAAAAGTAAGCAACTCTTGACTTTTGGGCCTCTACACATATTTCATTTCATCTGGCTGATCTGAGCCCAGTATTGCCATCACATCTTGACTTGAATCTTGATTCTATTGCCCAGAACCCATGTCCCTCCCAAAAGATGTGATACTCAGTTTCCCTCGGTCTTTTTCTACATCTGCCATGGCAGTAGTATCCCCTCAAGCATTTCACTTACCCGCTCTGATCTCCACTCCCTCCTCCCATCCACAAAATCCTTGCCTTGGTTTGAAACATCACTACAGGGTAGTTTGACTTTTGGTCCACTATGATCCCCAGATCCTTTTTGTTGTGATTTTATTATTCCTGCATTTGTGATTTGGCATGAATCCCCACCCTGCATTTTTATTTCTTCAGCCCACATTTATTTTCCCGTTTTGGCCTTGCCTCCAGTCAGCTGAGATCTTGTATTTTGGCACTGATTTTGCAGGGGAAGGTAGGAAGCAGAGAGGTGTTTTCCTGAGCTCACTTGGTGCATGACTCCCAGCCGACTCGGAGATGTTTGCTTCCACTACCTAAGTCTCTTCTATTTGATCTTTTTCAACAATACTGAGGAACATTACTCTCATTTTACAAATGAAGACACTGGAAGTCAGCATCGTAGATGTTAAGAGTAAAGGCTAAATTAGAATCTTATCTCTGGGGGGAGGGTATAGCTCAGTGGTAGAGCACTTGTTTAGAATGTATGAGGTCCTGGGTTCAACCCCAGCACCTGCATTAAAAAAATAAATAAATAAGTAAACCTAATTACCCCCCCAAAAGAGTAAATAATGATAGTAATTTTTTAAAAAATAGAATCTCACCTCTGCCTTTGCACAAGTTACTCAATTTCTCTGAGCCTTTGTGTTCTCACCTGTAAATTAAAAAAAAAATAGTCCTAGCTCAAAAGTTTAGAAAAAGATTAAATGATATATATAGAGTACTTAGCACTGGACTTCACATAACAAAAGTGAAGAATAATAGTGTAAAAGTGTAGATGAAGTGCTTCACCTTTTCAAGGCACACGTCTCCTATATAGAGGAGGTGGGACCTTCTGCTTCTGGAATGTAAATCCTCTGGAACACAAGTTTCTGTGGTGCTATTTTTCCTGCACGATGTTGCCATTGTCAGAAATTCTCTTCCCAAAATTTAAAGAGGCTTGAGCTCTAGTAATCATGCCAGAGAGCATGATGCCAGGAGTTCAAGATTCTCAAGGCTGGATTCACAAGCTG